ATATTCTGTCATTGTCCAGCTTTCCATCTGTATGAGGGAACTGAGAACACCCTGCCTTGGGCCAGGGGCACCTGAGTCCTCAAAGTGGCATCTTTGCTTTTTCTCACAGTAAAGAGATGGTTTGCAGCAGATTTACTCAGTATAAGACATTTGTTTTCTTGCCTACTGCTTCCCTGGACATTGGTTGTAAAATCACATAAAATGAAATCCTTGACAACATCAACCTTTTCTCTCTCTACCATGATGCTATTACTGGTCCAGTTTTGAGGAAGTTTTTGTTTTCTTGATATTGGGGTGTGTAGTCCATGCTGATGGTTATAGTCTTTGATCTTCATCAATAACTGCCTGGAGTCCTCTTCACTTTCAGCATGCAAGATTGTATCATCTGCATATCTCAGGTTGATGAGTCTTCCCCCAAATTTGGTGCCAGGTTCTTCATATAGTCCAGAATCTCAAATTATTTATTCACCTACAGATTGAATAAGTATGGTGAAAGAATATAACTCTAACACATACATTTCCTGATTGTTAAGAATTGCGTTGGTGCAGTAGTAAATAGTTCTCATTTCCCAAAATGTAATTCCTGTTTTTATCCCAACGCAATTCTTTACCTTGAAAGATCTTCCTTTTGAGAGGCAGTATACTATGACTGAAACAGTCAACCTCCAAGCCAGTCAAAGCTTGAGTTTTTCTGTATCTATTATTTGCCTATAAAATTATGATAATATCAACCCCAATGGAAAAAGACTATTAAATTGGTCCAGAAAGGTAAAGTGATTACAACAGTAATAAGTCATGTAATTTCTGTTCATCTAGTTTATCTTTTAATTATTTGAAACTAGTGCATGTGCTACAAAAGCATTGAAGTCTGTTTCGGTGTTGTTTTTCCTCTTTTGTGACCACTCAGACCAGGGTTGACATCAGATGGGGAAAGAACCTGGGAAACTGGAGGGTTTTCAAGGCTGTGACTTCTCCCTTTTTTTGGAGTGGGGGGTGCCTTTTTCTTTGTGGAGTATGATACATAGAGAAAAATATACAAAACACAGTTACACAGCCCATCTCATCAGTGATAGCATCCCAGTAAACCCCTGTGTATGTAGCTTTTTTCCCCCTTACCCACCTCTGCTCCCGACCCCCACCACCTCTGCTTCTTTTGATGTGAAAATCATTTTTCTCATTTTTTCCCTTTACAATGTAGGCTTTATGTAAGGTTTACCTTTATGAGATTGACTAACCTTGCCAAGCATAATGTCTTCCAATTTTGACCATGTCATGAGGTGTGTGTCAGTTTCATTATCATTGTTTAGAGATGCATAATATACTATCGTGTGCATATACCAGAGTTGTTTATTCATTCCTCTACAGACAGACTTCTTGATTGTTTCCATCTTTTTTGGTATTATAGAAATCAATGTGATAAATATGGGTATCCTAATGTAGTTATTAAAATGCCACGAAAGCAAAAAGATTTATAGTGCTTTTTTTTTTTTTCAGTTATGTAGAAAGAGCACTGGTTTTGGAGTTAAAACATCTCTGCTTGTATTAGTTGCATGACCCTGGACAAATATATCCATTCTTTGAGATTCCGTTTCCTCTTCATTAAAAGAACAAAATCATCCATGCTTTACTGAGGCATAAATAAAGATACAAATACGAAAATACTTCAGATAGTATGCAAAATACCATCAGTGTGGCTTCTCATTGGAATTTTATCAACAAGTGTCTTTTGTTCTAGTTCTTCCTGTGGTCACCTTATAGCAGAGTATTTTACAGGGACAGGGATAAAATTGAGCTGCTATCAAGGAGTTCAAGAAGGAAAAGAATGTTTTGAAACTGATTGTGGTAGCAGTAGTACAAGACTGCTTATGTGATTGAACCAGTAAAATGGTTTTGGGGGGGATAAAAAGTTTGTGTGAGAGACGATGAACTTTGAAAAAAATGTTATTTGTAAGTCTCTTCTAATTTCTTAATATGCTCACATATTTATTAGGGATGCTCAGATTTGGTTTTGAATTGTGGTGAGAAAAGGATTCTAACTAAATCCCATGATTCTCAAAAAAGGCCGTCTAGGGTTACCATAGCAAATCACAACAAACTTGACTATTTCAGACAACAGAAATGTATTGTCTCATAGGCACTGGAGGCTAAAAGTCCAAAATTAAAGTATCATCAAGTCCATTCTTTCTCTAAAAGCCTTCATGGATCCTGCTAGCATTGGTGGATGCCAACAAGCCTTGGTGTTCCTTGACTTGTAAATACATCACTCAATCTCTTAATGTGTTCTTTGTATTTGTGTCCAATCTCCCTTCCTATAAAAATACCATTATTAGATTGAACCCAACTAATCAATGTGACCTCATCTTAACTTGATTACCTCTGCAAAGTCCCCATTTACAAATATGGAAGGGTAGGGCTTGAATGTGTCTTTTTCAGGGAGACAATTCAACCCACCATGATTGATGAAATCAAAGCTGAAATAACTGCTGTACAAGAAGTGACCGTCAAGATAACTCTTAGAGGAGCTGGTCTTTTCTCTTTTTATTTGGTAGATACTATAAGCAAGAGCTTAAGCTGTAATTAGACTATCAAACCTAATTACTGTTTTCTCTAAGTCTACTAGCTCCTTAAGTACTTAAAACCAATTAATATCCTTCTTCACTGAGATTTTTGGAGAAAACATGAGCTAGAGGTTTTGTTTGTATGATTTTTCTTCAATATTTTATTATAAAAATTCCAAACATGAAACCAAGTTGAAAGAATTGCATAGTAAACACTGAAATACAAACTCCATGGATTCTATAATGAACACTTTTCTGTACTGGCTGTGTCTTACATCTACCTATCTTTCCACTCCTGAACGAGAAGTTTTTAAGCAGTTTTTAAGCTTTCATTTGCTCTTCTACATGTATTTCATTTATCAACCTTAAGGGGAAAAAAGTCAAGTTCTGTGCTTTATAAGCTACTACACTGGATTAGTTTCACATTAAAGGAAGATATACCATATGTATGATATAAAAGCGTAAGTGGAAAAACAAACCAACATGAATGGATGGATAAGCAGCAAATGCAGGAGAGGAGTTGCATCTAGAAAAAGGGGAAAGCCTCCCCCCAAAAGAATTTATTTCAAAGGACAGCACTGAATCTGCAGCTCCTGGAGAGGGACATATCCGACCGGAGCACACGGGAGCAGATGAAGGGGGAGGAGGAGAGACAAGCGC